GAAGAGGGGTGGGGGGTGGTAATCGAGGTGAGTTTACATCTACTAGTTGAATATGCATTATTTTACTGCAAACAAGCGAATTGAACCGAGAAGTGATTAAAAAAGTTAATATGAATGGAAACCCCTAGACCACAAAAGCCAATTTCATTCGCTGTTGTTGAGAATATGAGCTTTGCACGTCTACTTTCAAGAAACTCGGGGACTCCTTGATGAGGTATGAAACAACCTGAATAGGAGTCCAATTAATTTGCAGTAGTGCCAATAGTAGTAGTAATAATAGTTAAACTACGCGAGAGTAGAGGAGAGATCGAGTCAAGGACGAAAAGTGTTGGGGTGGAGAGAGAGAGAGCCAAACTAGAAGGCAAATGTGGATTTGTGTGAAATTGGCATTATATAGCTACGCTTGGAGGGAAGAGGTAAAGAGATGGAGTGGTTTCGGGCATAAGGGATTGCGGGTTATTCCCTTAATTAGAATAAACCACTTCATGACACACAATGGTTTTCTACAGGGAACTTGAAGTTACTGCAAGATGAGGACATTCGAACACCACTGTGAGCTTTGTGACAGTCTTGAGACTGAACCGGGGTCATACCTTTTAAACGGCAATATGAACTCGAGATAGTTAGGCTCCCCAGAGGTTAGTGGTGACCCTGAACAAAGATTTTTGAAAACGCATAGGGATACAGGGTACGTATAACAGTTATCCCCTTGGTTCACGATCCAGAAGTTTTTATTTTTCATGATTTATTCACTACGTGATTGAGTAAACTCTTATGAACACGCTGTCCACTGCCTAAACACCTAGTGACAAATTAAGAAAATCATGTCTTTCCACTCCGATTCAGCTTTGCATCAACCAGAGAATGAGAAGTCAGATGATGAGAGATAGTTTGATTCGAGCTTATTCTAACAACTGCTTAGAGCAAGGGTGAATGAGACGAGTAGAGGCAACTCAAGCAGAATGAAGGTTATAATGACAAATACTGTTGTTTAACCAACAAACATTAACTAATGATATTAAATCTCAAAATAAAAAGAAAATGCACTTGAGTTATGTATTGGCTTGATGAAAACATATCGGATGACTACTTGAACTTTCTAAGCAATATAAATAAGAGTTGAAAACAATTTCGAAGTGTAAAAACTGCCAATGCGAAATTCATTCATATTGTTAGTGGGGAATATTCCTCTCTCACTCCCTCTCTCTCTCTCTCATGCCACTATTGATCGAGGTTTGTCAAATCTTACCGAAAATCCCCCACCCCCTCACACCCCCAAATAGTTACTTTCCTTCTATTGGTAATAATAAATATGAAAATAAATCAAGTGATCATTGCGGTCGAGCAGAAAGTTTTAGGCTTTTTCGCCGTGAGAAAAGCACAAAAAGACACCACATTAAGAGCAATTTTAATATGATGGAGTACTTAGACAGTAAGAATGAAAATTAGGGAATCGAAGAAACCCACTTTTTTTATTTCCTTATTCACACTTCTTGTGGTTGTGCCTGATATTCACTAATGCGAGGCGTACATTGAAACCTACGACAAAAACACTTCCTTAGCATGCCCTAAACCCCACTGATTAACTGCGCCTCTGAATCTCAGCCAATTTCGAGCCAAATTTACAAAATGATTGAACTTGGAATGTGACAACCTTGCTGGCTCATTTTGGTGAGATAAGTGTCGTGTACTCAGAAGGAACTTCCCTAAATTCAAAAGAAATTCCGAGTTTTCAATCCCGCAAATCGTCATAATGGCTATCACACCAGTAGGACCGTCTTAGTCACAAATTTCATATTTGTCCTCTGACTCTTATCCTGGTTCTTCAAGCACCCGCACACACACAGGAAAGATGTGTACATTTGTGCAACCAGCCTAAGTCAGTGGGGTTGAATTATTACGTCAACAAAGCACGCACACAGCAAGCAGTGCCTTTCAGTTACGCGGACGAATACACACTTGTTTGCATGGCCTTGAGAACTCAAGGTCAACCCGTGCGTGCACAAATCCGCATTGGCACTGCGCGTCTGCGATTTCTTACACTGGTCTTGCTTCGCATCGCAATGTTTTCTATTCAAGCTGTACTGCGTTTTGCCTTTGGAAAGTGCTGCATTCTGATTTCTCTTTGTGTTTGTTGACCGATGATGTGTTGTTAACACACTTAGGGGAATATTTAATTCATGTGATCAAGCAAACCAGAAACACACTTATATGCACACAGGAGGTGGAACGGCATGATTTTTCCCTGAGGATAAAAGATTTCAATATTAACACCACTGTATTAAATTAGAGCGTTTCATTGGAGGGAAGACAATTGAAAGCGGTTAAGAGTGCGTCCAATAAATAAATGATAGAGAGGAAGGGGACGTGGGTAAAGTAAAGATAAGGTGCCAATTTGTCTTGACGCATTTGTTTTTTTTTAATTTGATCGTGCAATATTATCCGAATGGGAGTCCCATTTCCAAAATTTAAAGGTAATGAAGCGTCAGCAGAATTTCTGAACAGATACCCACAAACAATAGCCAGCTTTGATTTGTCCCTTGTGTGTGTGTGTGTTGCCACTTCACTTCATTGTTTTCAAAATTTCGAGAATAAAACAACATGATTTCGCAGAGCTGTGATTGGAAAATTTGAACTTAGAGGGGGGAGGAAGGGGGCTGTTAGCACTGTAAGACATTTCTTGTTGCAGCATTTGCGAATAAAGTACACATTTTCACAAGAAGTATATTCTCAAGTGAGAGCCCCATTGGCCCATTATTGTTCGAAGTCTAGTTGCATAGACTAGCTATTCAAATTCTTTCACTTCTACGTTTGGTCAACGCGACTCCTGTTACCAAAAGATAATGATTCATCTGATAGCTAACTTTCCTATGGAGATATATATATCTTTTAAAATGCAATTTTGGAATCGTGAAATCCAGTTTTTTCCCGGTTGGGTAAGCAACACCAGCTCTGCATCATTACGTCCTGCCCAGGCATTAAAAGTGGGAGGGAAAAAGGTGTTGATGCCTTTCGTTCACGCTTAGAGACGAGATCGGATGCAGTTCAAATTTCAAAGCGCCTCTAGACTTTGGTTCGCGTCAAGCGCACCCTGTGGACTCGAGGATTGTTATTCACGGAGAGGAGAAAAGTAACCGATTTCCTCTTGTAGAAATTCCAAATCAGCAAAAAATGGAACATCCACAATTCGTGGAAAAATTTTCGTCTCCACTTTTGGCCCTTAGTGCTAAAATGGATGTCTAAGAGACCCCTTCAAATATAACCTTGGTCGATATATCGGCAAGAGGAAGAATAGATTTTTCCCAGCAAAATTGGAGGTCCAAGATGCTCTCCTCCTTCCAGAGGCATTAAATATTTTTTAATTAAGTATCTCTTCACAACAACAGGTATTGATAGAATCTAGCCAAAATAATGAAGTGTTCGAGATGCAGATAATGACTGCAAAAAATATTTGGAAGGAAAAGTTGGAAGTAGTAAATCTTTTGGAAGGAATTCGACTCATGGAATTTGTTTTCTTGCGAAAGGCAACAGCGCTCTTGTCATTGGCTGAATTTCGAAATTCACTTGACCCCACCAAGATTCACATTTCACAATTCAATTGTTTTATTGGGAGGAGGGGGGGGGGGGCTTTAAATGACCCCTAGTGTTTCCTTCCAACAGATTGAGTTAATTTCATGTCACCTTGGCTATTTCTTTATGACAATCTAAACTCCTCATTTCTCTTCACTTTCCGCGTCATCACTTTTCCATGAACAGCAATGGGATGCAATCATCACAAATGAAGACTTTCTAACATTGCGTGGGTGGGAGATTAGAGAGAAAATCATTCGAAAATACAAAAATTTTCGAATGGAGGAGCAACTGAGGTCTGGTAAATTTCAATGGAGAATAAAGACGTAGAGTCTAATTTCAGCACTTAATGAGGAGTTCGCGTGAGAAACTTGAAGTAATGAGCAAGCTCTTCCAAACGCTCAATGAATATTGACCGGCTAATTAATTTGAATGGTCTGTTGTATCACCATTGCATATTACTAACATTTCTCAATTTCAGATGTCCATAAGATAATGAAATTTCCTACCCTCATGAACTTGTTAAGATAAACTTACAAATATTTTAGTTTTAGATTATAGTGAGAAGTTTAGAAGATAAAAGGAAGGATGATTTGGACCCATGGCTCATTATGAACCTGTCACTACATTGCCACTGCTAGTTTTGTGGCTCTGAGGCGGAGTGGGGGAAGGTTAGCCATCCAGAGATTCACACAATTAGAATCCCAAGTCTACATTCTCCTAACATGTGAATAAGGCACCTTATTTACTCAAACAGGGGTGTGTGATAGACTTACCTCCACGTGATGCACCCTGGGCAACGTATGAAAAAGTCTTTTAACTGGCAGTTGACTTCTGACTTCAAACCACCATGACCTCACTAAACTGGCAGTTGACTTCTGACTTCAAATTGCCATCACCCCAAAACCGGCAGTTGACTTCTGACTTCAAACTACCATGACCAGATCTATTAACTGGCAGTTGACTTCTCTATGTCATATTCGAAGTCTATAAACCGGCAGTTGACTTCAAACTATCGGCAAAAAAATTCTATTAACCGGCAGTTGACTTCTGACTTCAACGCAAAAAGGTCTATTAACTGGCAGTTGACTTCTCACTTCACAAAAAAGTCTATTAACCGGCAGTTGACTTCTGACTACTCAAACGGCAAAAAAGTCTATAAACCGGCAGTTGACTTCTGACTGAAAAGGTCTATTAACTGGCAGTTGACTTCTGACTTCAAATAAAAGTCTATCAATCGGCAGTTGACTTCTCACTTCAAACTAAAGTCTATTACCTGGCAGTTGACTTCAAACTACCATGAGTAAGTCTATTAACTGGCAGTTGACTTCTGAGTTCAAACTATCATGACCCCAAGTCTATTAATCGGCAGTTGACTTCTGACTTCAATTACCATGATCTATTAACTGGCAGTTGACTTCTCTATGTCATATTCGAAGTCTATAAACCGGCAGTTGACTTCAAACTATCGGCAAAAAAATTCTATTAACCGGCAGTTGACTTCTGACTTCAACGGCAAAGTCTATTAACTGGTAGTTGACTTCTCCGCATACGGCAAAAAAGTCTATTAACCGGCAGTTTTCTTCTCACTTCAAACTACCATGACCCCCCTATATGTCCTACATTCTCATACGGCAAAAAAGTCTATAAACCGGCAGTTGACCTCCGACTTCAAAACACCACCACCTCATTATATGTCATATTCGACTACTTCCACAGTACTCACCTCGCCTTTTTCACTCTACCTTTGTGTCTGTCTCTTTTACATCTTTGAAATACTCTACTGTTCCCCCCTCCCCCTCTCGACTTTTTCACTTTGATGTTCTTTCTTCTCTATGAAGCCTGAAGTCAACTAAAGGGCTTATGATAACTATCAAAATACCTGCCATTTGATATAACTAAATATTTACTTGAACATGAATGGAAGAACATACGTGATGCATCGAGTGTGCGCAGCTTTGGCTTCTTTGGCATTGGACATTTGGAGGATAAGTTCACATTCACCGGTTGGGGCTGCTCGACCGACATCAAAGCATAGTCGACCGTCGTCTCGTGATGCACAGTTTCGCACATAGGGGAACTGCAACAAAGGTGCACAAGAATTTAGTTATTGATTAACCAAGAAGCATGTCGTTCCCCTTAAATCCCCCCCCCCTCCTCCCCTCTAAAAAAGGCTGCTATACCCTTTTAGCCTGGTTCCTAAAGTAGTTGTATTATTAATTGACACAACATATGGACTCAACCCAAACGTATTCACCGAGGGCGAGGTCAGCAAGTGATAACATACCCTATTAACCTTCAATACTTATACACCGAATAGTCGATAATGTTCCCCAACCCCACCAACCATTCACATAAGAAAATGTTTGATTAGTGCCATCTCAATTTCATAATTATGTCATTACAGAAAGTTCCCCCAGCATCTGACTTCTCACTCTGTTCATCCAAGTGCATCAATGTGTGAAGCATACCGCCCAATAATTTTCCCATTGACAACCAAGAATCCTATGCTATCTTTTTTGTCCTTAATTCTCTTCCCATAAGTGGTTCTTCGTTCTCACCAAACCCCTCTGCTGTAAAAGCCCCTTGAAAAAGAAACCAAGGAAGGTACAGGATTCATATATTTGATTCTTTTTGCCAAAAGTCACTCTGACGACGTACAGGAGGTGGACAAAAGTGCCACTAGTTAACACTCAGACATTTGGGAGATGCTTTCCGCCCCCCCCCCCCCCCCC